ATTGGGACAGCCGTCGTCGCGTGGCGGTGACGTAATCGCACTTAAAATGCGTACTTCAAGCGTGCAGACCCTGAATTGGGACACAGCCTATCAAAGCAAAACAGGAAGAACGCAGACTGAGTAGGACAGGGGTGTCCAACTCCAGGCCTCAAGGTCAGTGTCCTGCAGGTTTTAGAAATCCTCCTGGGTCAACACACCTGAATCAAATGATTAGTTCATTACCAGGCCTCTGGAAAACTTCAAGACATGTTGAGGAGGTCATTTAGCCATTTAAATCAAGGAGCAAGGACACGTCTAAAACCTGCAGGACACCGGCCCTTGAGGCCTGGAGTTGGACACCCCTGGACTGTGGGAACAGACAGATGGATATGAAGACTGGGGAGGAATCACAAAGGCAAACCAAGACTAGAAATACAGAATAAACACAGGATATAATCATACTGGGCAAAGAAATATAAAATACACAGAGAACCTAATAAATAAAAAAGACTCAAAGAACCAAAAGACAAGAAACTCAAAATGCTGGGTGAGAATAACCCAGGACTGTGATACATCCTGTATTTTCCCACTCTCTCTTTCTCCTCGCTCCTCTTTTTTCCACCTTTAATGTCTAATAGAAGCGAAACAACTGAAAATTGAGAAAAATAAAAAAACAACCTCCAAACACCTTTTGGATGACAAAAAGGATTATGGTTGGATGAAGGGGCAGCTGAGAAATCTGCAGCACCGTGTCTGACGCTAAGCTAAGCATGAACCCGGACCTCTGTGATCCCCTTCTTCCCTTCTGGCACAGAGTTACAAACTGAATGGTTTATAGAGTTTTTGTCTGAAATATACGATGTGGTACTGGCATCAATAAATCCCTCAACCTCACACTTAAATTATTTTGTGCTGTAGGGTAGTAAGTAACAAGCATGGGGAAGTACATGCTCCTGTGATTTCCAGCTACCTTTGAAGCCTGTAGACTTATAGTTCCTCTGCAACCAGCTGTGAATCATGACTCAAGCTACATGTTACACACAAGTCAAAGTTACATATCCTCTGGGAAATAAGCAAAAAAGAGCAAGTTAAATATAGAGGTTAAATACAGGGGTCTTATATCATCAATGAATGACCAACATATATGTGCATCTGTCAATAATGTCATTGACAAACGTTCCTCAACTGGTGTGTAAAGCTTCAGTGTGGAAGATTGCTACAGTGGACTAACTACTACAGCAGCCACGACTTCTGAGAGACAAGCTGGAGCTATCGGGAGTGGACCACCACATGTCCCACTGGATACTGGACTACCTCACAGAACGTCCACAGTATGTGAGGTCACAGGGCTGTGTCTCTGATATGCTGGTTTGCAGTACGGGGGCCCCACAGGGAACTGTGCTGGCACCGTTCCTCTTCACCCTCTACACTGCAGACTTCTCCATCAACTCCCCACGCTGCCACCTACAGACGTTCTCTGACGACTCTGCCATAGTCGGCCTCATCACAGGTGAGGAGGACTCAGAGTACAGACAGTGGACTCTGGACTTTGTAGACTGGTGTCAGCAGAACCACCTGCTGATCAACGCCGGGAAAACGAAGGAGTTGGTGGTGGACTTCCGGAGACGCAGACCCACCACACTGACACCGGTGAACATCCAGGGAGTGGATATTGAGATAGTGGACTCTTATAGGTACCTGGGTGGTCACCTGAATAATAAACTGGACTGGAGCCACAACACCGATGAACTTTACAGGAAGGGTCAGAGCAGAGCAGAGGCGGCTGAGGTCATTTGGAGTCCAGGGAGCGCTTTTAAAGACCTTCTATGACTCTGTGGTGGCATCTGTCATTTTTTACAGTGTTGTATGTTGGAGCAGCAGTTTATCAGCAGCTGAGAGGAAGACGCTGGATAAACTCATCAGGAAGGCCAGCTCTGTTCTGGGGTGCACCATGGACCCAGTGCAGGTGGTGGGAGACAGAAGGACTCTGGCCAAAATAACATCTCTGATGGACAGAGTCTCCCACCCCATGCATGTAAATGTTGCTGAACTGCAGAGCTCCTTCAGTGACAGACTGCTGCATCCTCGATGCATGAAGGAGCGTTTCCGCAGGTCCTTCCTCCCTGCAGCTGTCAGACTGTACAATCAACACTGCTCCCAACAATCATAGATGTTTACATCTGCGCTGTAACTGCAATAATTTAATCAACCGATTCGCACTACAACCTGGGTTTGCCTCTTATCTGTAGTTAATTTTATTTAATTTAATAACTGTACAGTACTCTGTTTATAGTAACTATTGTCCTTAATGTAAATATGTTTGTATATGTGTCTTTCTGGCTGCTGTTACAACCAAATTTCCCCTTGTGGGACGATTAAAAGATTATTCTATTCTATTCTATTCTATTCTATTCTATTCTAACTGAGTCTTATGTTGGACCAGAACCTGGATTATAGTGAAATGCCAGCCCTCTTTTGTAGTCAGATGACCTAATGTCAGATAAAGCACGGCTGACTGATCATTTCCCTTTTCTTCATCTTTACAGTGACCTAAAGCGCAGAGTCAGTATTCTCATAGACGGCTCCCTAATAATTGCCCACGTCAAGCCAGAAGATGCTGGGAAATACACGTGTGCTCCAAGCAACAGCCTGGGCCGACCACCGACTGCCTCTGCCTACCTAACAGTGCAATGTGAGTGCCCTGTCTCTCTCTTTTTTTACTTTCTACATAGCAGTGGTGTGTGCTCTAGTCTGAGGTGCTGTTAAATGAACATTTCTGCAGCAGGATGAAATCTTGCTTATTCTTTCCTGGGGCAGCACCCATGAGAGACAGTTTCATCACAGCTTTTGATGGTTGTTGCAACTTTTTCTGCATTTTGCAGAAGCTTTCAACTGCATTTAATAAAAATTTTACACACTGAATGACTTTCATGTCTTAACTCTTTCAGTCAATATGATCCATATTCCAGGTTCAGTGTATTATTTTCCTTGATATCCGCTGTATCACCTTGCTGGCACCTCTGGGCAATTTAGAATCACCAGTTAACCTAACTCCTCTAACTGCATGCTTTTGGGGTGTGGGAGGAAGCCTTTCTGTGTGTACAGTAGTCTGCATGCTCTCCCTGGCCAGCTAGCATCCAGTCTAACTCAGGACCTTTTTGCTGTGGGGTAATAAGGCCAACCACCACACATACTGCCTGAGCTTATAATGAGATGCTGTTTTTATCACCAGCTTGCTGTCAGCTTTCCGCAGATACAGTAGAAGGATTACTTGTCCAATCAGGAATAAAATACCGAGTTTATGTCCATTTGATTGCATTAGAGCTCTGACTTCAGTTCAGGAGACGAGGCTTCAGGTAAAGAGGGAGAGAATGAGAAGGAGATGAGCGAGGTGAGATCAGTGATAGTGGAATCAGATGAAGAAGAGGAGAACAAGAAAAGGAAAACGTTATGATATAAATGTACAGTTTTGGCTGATTAACTTCTTGTTATTGATTATCATGACTTGAATATAACTAATAGTTATAGTGATTAACAGCATTTACTAGGTTGACCAACACTCAGAACAATGAGCAAGTCCAAGGAGCACTGTACCATCTGCTAAGCAAATCCGATCTGAAAAAGTAGGACGACCTCCAAATTCTTCAACTTCCCCTCAAAAGCTAGATAAATGAATGTTGGACATATTTGGATGTTTTATATCATTGCATTGATGACATTCGGTATTAAATTGGTAAATATATACAACTGTGGTTCTGTGGGGGAAAGAGTCAAATAAAGCATAAAACACTCCAAAAAGGCACAACACTAAGACAGTGCAGAGGTCCAGTGCACAGACTATAATAAGTGGAGGGACCAATGGCCTTTGTGGGGTCACCAACACAGGGGCCACACTCCTAACTACAGTATCTAGATGGACGGATAAATATTTAGAAAGAAATTGCCACCTGTAGAGATGTAAGGAAGGGGTAAATTATTTATAGAGGCCAAACCTGTGTTTTAATGCTGTTCAGTCAATCATTTTTTCCTGGAAGCATGGGGTTCAATAGAAGAACTGCAGTTTTTGGTTTGGCTTCATCAGCCCTGAATATTCTCCATGAAGAAAGATTCACTTTATCGTTGTTCAGCGTCACTGACCCCGAATTGTCAAACAATGGGTATGAGTCCATACCCATTCCAGGTTGGTCAGTTGATAAAAGTTGCTATCAAACCACCAGAAATTAATAAATGCTAAAAAAGACTTAGGTCGAGTAAGACAGGTTGAGTAATAGAGCATTAGAGGCAGTGTGAGAAAACTTCAATAGATTAAACTTCCTGACAACTTCTTTTTTTTTATCCAACACCTGTAACATTCACATGATTGATTGTAACTTATGTAGGTTTGAGAAAAATGTAGGATAGGTGATTGCCTTTGATTTAATTTTTAATAGATTTTCCTCATTTGCTGCATTCACATGGAAAAGCTTTGGAAAAAATCTTCCAGTCTTGTAAAGTGCGCATATTGGATGTGGGTAAGACAAAGCCGAATACTAACATGAGCCCTAGAACCTACAACTCATTGTAACTCCTCATCACTCTGCATTGTTAAGAGGGGACACCAGTTTCTGTCCATCTGAGCTTGAGTCAAACCGGACACAGCTGTGAAACTGTGTGTCCAGAAATCAACTGAAATGCTCTGCACCGTGGAATCACTTTGGACACTCGGCTAGTTTCCCGCCTAACTCTGTTCCACTTCTCATCCAAACATATAATCCCATGCAAACACCGGTTTTGCCTCTCAAATATACTTTTCTGTTTTATTTTGCTTCTGGTTGCTTTCTGCCCACATCCTCCCTTTTCTCCCCTTCTCTTCCCTCACTACTTCTTCTGATTTGTACCCATTTATGAATATTTATTCATATGCACACCAGCACGTCTCTGTCTCTCCCTTCCCCATCTTCATGATTATTACTGCCTCCTCATTTCTCTGTCCCATCATAAAACACTCTATCAGTCCATCAGTCACTCCCAGCTTGAGCCACTAAATAAAAGCATCTGGCTTTTATTTGCATGTCTCAGGACGAGCACTGAGAGCTCGGCCTTGTCTGCTGGTGACCGGCCATCGGCAGTAGTCAAGGCAACAGACAATTTGAATTCCCTCACTCTCCCGCTTTGTTAGATTGTGGTGTGTGTCTGTGTGTGTGTGTGTGTGT